AATAAATAAAATAAAATAAAATAAAATAAAATAATAAAAATAAAAAGTTTTCCTTGGCCTCCCTGGTGGTGCAAGGGGTTAAGTGTTAGCGCTGTCAAGCTATCACCAGTCACTGCAATAAAAGCTCACTCCCAGGCCAGGGAGGTGACCCACAGGCACAGCAGTCTCGCCCGCTGCTCCCCTCAGCAGTGTATTTCAGTCCATGTGTTTGCTCCCCACCCTGTCTCTGGTGAATCCTCTCACCCTGGAACCTCTGGCCTGTACCCCAGCTCTTGTATACATAAATAAAGAAAAATATATCTTTAAAAACAAGTTTTCCTATTCTCATATTTGCAACTTTGCTTCCCTTACATGCAGCCCCCTGACACCCACCTCTTAAGCTATTTCTTTGTATCCTTTAGGTGTTTATTCAAAGGGCACTATCAAGTGTCGCTAACAGTTATCACACACTTTGTGTGGAGCGCTTTATCTTATTTAATTTTCACAGTAGCCCTACAAAGTAGTCAGTCTTCCCATTTTACAGAGGAAAACCTTTCAGACTTAAAAATAAATGATTAAAAGAAACAGAGGTCTAGGACTCAAACCAAAGTCCTTTCGTCCCTAATACATGAAAGGTCATTTATATGCCAGACTGTCCAGCCCTCTGTTGCTCCTTATGGCAAGATGAAAACCTCAGTGCCAACAACACAGATTTGGAAAATCTAGAAAAATTCTAATCCTTCTTTTATGATGAAGAACAAAGCAACCCTAAAAATAAAATGGTCACAAAATATTTACCCCCAAAACATGTATAAAATTGTGAAAAGTGACTGGCTTTTGAACATACTGAAAGAGAATTAGAAAAGAATGTACAATGAAATATTACTAGGGAAGCTATCAACTAAGTCCCATTTTCACCTTTTTGTGGTGTCTTTACTAACTTTATTTTTTTTTCTTTTTCTTTTTCTTCTTTTTTTAATAATATAATAGTTTTTTTTTACATCATTTTGTGACTTTTTCCATTTCAGTTGTAATCCCTGTGGTCTTCCCACCACCAAATCAACCATATGCCATTACCATAGTCCAGTGCACTTCCCCTCCACTCTGATATTGATCCCATTCCCCACTCCACCCCTGTAAAATGTCTCTAGTATATAGTTGTTCACTATTATTCCCCCCCCACCCCGGTTCTTTAGGCTTCTGCTATGAGTGAAACCATTGGGTATTTTTCTTTTTCTTTCTGGCTTATTTCATTAAGCATGATCCCTACCAGCTCCATCCATGTTGCTGCAAAAGGCATAAATTTATCTTTTTGATTGCCAAGTAATATTCCATTGTGTTTATGTACCACATCTTTTTAATCCAGTCACCCACTTTTGGGCATTAGGGTTGATTCCATGTCTTTCCTGTTGTAAGTAAAACAGCAGACTAACTTTATTTTAACTGAGAATATACTCACTTTATATAAAAGATGAGGGCTTTTGGACCTTTCCATATGTACAGCTCCTTCACGCTTCTACTCCTGTCAACGGGATATTTGCATCCAGCATCTGAGATATTTATTCATTCATTCTTTCGTTCATTCAAAAAATACTACTTCTTTGCACCAGGCATTGCTTTAATTCTGAGAATAAAGACACGGGTAAGACAAACAAGTCATTTTTCCCTAGAATTTACAACTGTTGGCAAAACAGACAAACAGCAGTAAAAATCAAGGAAGAAATGTCAAACAGTGATAAATCCCATGAAGGTCATCCTAACAGGGTGCTCTCATGAGAGATCTGGGTGGCGAAATCAGTCCAAAGTGGTCCAGGAAGTTCTTCAGAAGAAGAGTTATTCCATCTGAATGGCTCAGATTAAAAGAAAGAATTTTCCAGGCAGAGGTAAAAACTAGCCAAAAAAAAAAAAAAAAAAAATCAGGGGCCTCCCTGGTGGTACAAAGGGTTATCTGAAACCACTGTAGCACAAGTTCCATCCCTGGCCAGGGACCTGGCCCACATGGAGCAGCAGACCTCTCCTGTCTCACCTGCTGCTGCCTCAGTACATCTGCCTGTTCTGCTCCCCACTCTTGTCTTTGGTGAATCCTCTCACTTCCCACACATCTGCCCTGTATCCCCAACTCATATATGCATAAATAAATTAATCTTAGAAAAAGTCAGGGTCTGGAATAAGTTTGCAGCTTCTTTAGAGAAGCTCTGTATGGCAGGACCAATGCTGGGAAATGACGGAGTGGAATCAATGGTCTGGGTTCAAGCTCATCGGGCTTGCCTCTCTGTCCCAGTTCTCACACTATTGGAGGACTGTTCTTAAAACTCCGTGGCATTAACAAGCTTGACTGTCTTGACCACAACCACTTATTCGTTGGGGCTCCCCAGTACTAGCAGAGTAGAACCTCACTGTATACATGTTAAGTGACAGAAAAGATGAATGGTCTGTGCATTGGCAAAAGACAGAAAATTCCTTGAAATAAATATCAGATTTTTAATGTCATTTCATTATCATTATCACTTGAAAAGCAATCCCCCCCGACTCTAACACACACACACATTCCTGAAATGAGAATGAGAGACATTGAAAAATGTGATTCTATCTACAAAAATATTTGCCAAATCCAGACTGTTCTAGTAATACAGAAAGGAAAGCAATATTTATTGAGCAGAGCTGAAGGTTATAGAAAGATTACAGGCTTGGAAGCTGTTCAAGATGGGCTTGAATTCCAGACCTACCCTTTCCCAGCTGTGGGATGTTGGGTAATTCACACCTACTCACTGAATTACAGTTTCCACAACTGCAAGATGCACCCATAACATCTAGAGAATGACCCACCCCCTTCCTGTGTCTGGGATGTTGTGGGATTGAGGATATAGGAGTTCCAGTAAGATCAGGACATTGCCAGGCAAACAGGCATGCTTTATCACCCTAACGATCAACATAGTTATTGTATGATAATAAGCACTTGACTGTGCCAGGCAGAGAAGTCCTGCAAATGACTGTTGTTAAATAGTAAGTACCTAACAGAGCCAAGCTCTGCCCTTTGTTATACGTGTGTCAAGTTCAGAGGTAGATATCACTGGCCTCATTTTCAAGGGAAAGCAAAGAGACACAGGCAATGCAGCAGCTGGGATTCAAACTCGGGTCTGCCTGAGTTCAGAGCCAAAGCTCTTTCCTTCACGTATGAGGCCAAGTATATTTTCAGCAACCAAAACAATTCCAGTGTTTTTCACTTTTGTGCTATTTTCCCAAACTATAAATATTCTCTTTTAAAAACAGCATTGCAAAAGAGTGAAGTTTGTTGATATCATTTCTGTGAATGTGAAGTTCTGACAGCATTTAATTGCTATTTAGCGATAAGGCACGCTTCATTCAAAATTACTGGGGAATATTTTTTCCTTTCCTTCTGTCACACAAAGATGCAATTCAACCAGATGTCCCAGGGAAACTTTAACCACACAAGGAAATAATTTGTCACATACTTCTCTGGGCTTGATGAGATAATCGATAATGTTTTTGATGGAGATTTCTGATCAGTGTTAAGTTTTTCACTTAGTAACTCCCCTGTAGGGATAGATAACCATGCTCCCTAGTGCATTTCTCTCTGAAATGCTCAATGTCAAAGTCAAGTCATCAGCGAGTATGTCCTTTTGGCTCTGTGCTGTTGAGTTTCTTTTGAAGACTCATTGTTGGAAATGAATTCATCTTAACCACACTGCATGGTTCATGTTGGCATCAGTGTGCTATCTGTACCCCAGAGGGTTCACCAAATT